GTCTAAATCCGCGAAGCACCCTTCCGTCGTGTCACGGTTCGAGGGCGGGCGGAGAGGGGTTGGCGGGCACGGTGCCGGCGCACAGGGGGTGACAATGGGGGCTCTAAGCCCGGAGATTTGCAGGGACCACGCCGGTTGGTCGGTTCATTGTTTCAACGCCGGCTCTGCCGGGAAACGTATCACCGGAACAGAGAGCTGATTCTCTTGCATCTCCTTCTCTCTCTCTCTCTCTCTCTCTCTCTCATTTCTGCACTTTGGCGTTGCTGAGAAAAAAGTCGTGAAACTTGGAGCAGAGACGAACGAGCGGCGGCTGCGTTGAATATAAATCGCCATTCGCCCTCTCCTTCCGCTCCGTGGAAACCACTTTCAGCCGAGAAAAATGCCGTTGAATTAAATCGGCTGCTATTAATTTAATGGCCACTTCATTAGAGGCAACGCGATAGAGGAGTATCGGTTTCTCGCGGGCTCTACACTGTTTTTTCGTCCGTTCCTTCTTTTTCTGATTCGAGTATTGGTAAGTACGTTTACGTTGCGTGCACACGCCCGTCCGTCGAAAGTGGCGAGAGCATCGATTAACCCGATCCTCCTCGCAGCTAGGACTTCTGGTCCCGGCTGGATAATTAATGCGCCGGTTATTGATTGTGATTTATGCGTTACACGCTAGCTTTCAATGTTCCCTGGAACTGATACTTTTAATTGCGATCTCACCTTTCGCGACCGACCAGTTTTCTTCAAGTTTCCATGATATTTAAACAGATGTAATTAATGTCGACAGTCGAGAGGTGTTCAATTTATTTCTATTACATTTAAAGAATTTTGTATCGTTACGTTAAAGGAAGGAAATCAATTTATTAAGTCCTTAATGTCTAAGTCATATTTTGTTGCAATTACAAACGGAGCTTATCATTATCAAGGGAACAGGTTGAACTACACAGGGCTTTTATTTCTAGCCAGTTTTCCCGGGGTAATTTCATTTGGCCCAATCTCCACCGAACGAACCATTGGCCGCGGGCTCTTTCTATCTATGAAACATTTTTTCCGTCTTCCCTCGTTTTGTTTTCACTACCGCCACCCGCCCCTTATCGTTAAATCGTTTACCCGGCCGCCCTCTCCTCTCGCGACAATTCACAATCGTTAAAAACCAGCGTTTCGTAATAACTGCGCTCGGCTCGCTACACTTTTTTTGCAATTTACTTTGCTCTATATGATCATTTGCAAATTGTACTAATCGTTGAATAAATTCTTGGAACGGCATCCTACAAAGACGTGGGAAATTCTCGATTTAAAAAACGATCTCTTCATCGGGTCGACTCTGTCCATGCCTCGAATATTTGTACAGATTATGTAATTATAATAATTAGAACGAATCAAGTATAATTCTACTGGTACAAATTCGCATGAGCATCGTTTCATTTATCGCTCGTAGTTCGGCCGGAGAAACTCGGCTGGCATTTTCTAGTCGAAATTTTCGCTGCAGGATGAACTCTTATCTAGGAATGAGCAACGCTGGTAAGGGATGTATTAGCGGCCGGTATTAAATTATGGTCAGCCCAAGGCGGGCGATACCAAACGTTGTAACGCAAACACAGCCCCTCCCGTCGCGGAATTAACCCCGGAGATGGTCGCTGCTTCCGAGGGATAATTTCATTTGGCAGCGGCTCCTGGCTTCAGCCAGTACCACGGTCCATTCTGGCCGCGGGCGCCCGTCCTTCCGATACTCCCTCCACCGGTTTTTTTCTATCTTGCGGCTAATTTTTTGCCAAGATACGCAATTTTCCTCTGTACTTGTTTCCCGGCGTGGCTCGGGAAGCGTTTGGGAAACGAGTTTATATACGCCGCGCTCTTTTTTCCGATAAACCGAGAGCAACGAGAATGGATCCTGGTTCGGTTTAATCGGTCAGTGTACGACTGTCTGCGTTTTAATAGAGATCGCAATTTCCTTCGGATTTTAATTAAAACGAGTATAATAAATGGATTTATTTATTGATTGAATTAATGCTTCGATTTAATTCGAAATAAGTTTAACTTTACAAACCTTGTAACTCTGCCCGAAACAATATCGTAAAAAATTCGTGTCTCCAGGCGGTAGAAGCTCCCGTCAGGGATTTATGGTTTTAATTTCTGACGGGTCGGAGCGGAATATCGCGGGGGAACCTGGGAATACAGAATACAGGACGAACTTGGAAGCGAAGGAAGACTGAGCGAGCGCCGCGGTACATTCATCACGAGTTATTAAACAAGCCAACAAAAGGCCTGGGTGACTGGAGGGCGCGTGAAAAAAAGCTCGAAGATAGAATCGGCTAACCAGTACGGCTCCGCGATGATAGATGACCGCGAGGATTAAGGCATCCTTTGCTCGACTCTGCTTCCTTCCTACGGGATTTCTTGCCGCCGCGAGATGATAACGCCGCCGCAGGGAGATAGTAAGAAAATAATTTCGACTTCTCTTGATTAAAAAATCTGCCTCCGTTTTTCTTAAATATTTCATTAACGTTTATTAGTGTTTAATGAGAATTCAGGATTGCACAAAGTTTCAATTAATATTAATTCAGCCACTTGCGATACGCATGAATTTTAATTGAACTTTTAAAATGTTTCCTCAGCTGCCTTGCGCAATCTTGTTCATTAGATATCCGAGAGATAAAAAAGGACTATTGCATCGAACTTATTCCGAACAGTGATATCTGTAGTATAAAGAACCAGATCGTTAGAAATTAATAGAGCAGATCGTATCCGGATCGCTCCTAGTTAATAGTCTCCATCTTTATTGAAACTGAAATTACACCGCTATTAATAATAATTATGCCCGTTGCCTGGTTTCTGAGAGTAATTAAATTTACGGCTGTTGATCGATCCGGTAATTAGCCCGCACGTTTAGTGTTAATCAACTTCGACTTCTTATTCAATGCCTTCTGCTGCGATAAAAATAGAATACCTAACGTAAGAGAAACACGAATAAAGTATAGATATCCGGTCGGAGAAAAAGTTACCCTTAACATTTATTTTTTTGTTCAGGTATTAAAATTACATTATTTCCAGTTGCACTGAAATTGAAGGTAATCAGACTGTATTAAATATTTATATGAACGCAGGTAGAAAAATAGAGGCTTGCGTCCACCTTTACAAAAAATGTAATGGATTGGATTATCATGGTAGTAATTAGAGTAATGCATGTATCATAAAAACAGGAATCGTGACATATGAATGATATAATTACTAAAAGGAGTACGCAGGAAACATATTTAATAAATTCGTATTCTATCTTTATTATCGTATCATTTTATAAATTACATGTCCCATTTTTATGTCCGAAATTTGCATAATGAGAATTATGTTAAACAATAAAATTATGAACACAATCGTGGCGGCAGAAAATTATTTGAAATTCTGTACGGAGCACTCGAGATTCGCACCTCGGAGGCGACGTTAATCAGGCAACTCGCATTCCTCGCGTAAACACTCGTCCCGGGTGATGGTTAACACGATTCCGCGCGACACGTTCAAGAGGAGTCGTGGATTCGTGCTTCGTGAAAGTTGGCCCGCTGACAGACCATCATCCCCCGGTCCGTGATCCACCCTCCGCGACGAGACCCGCCACCCGTCCCACCTCCCGGTATTCCAGCAGCCACCACCACCCCCCCCGTCCTCGTACCTGTAACATCAATTAAAATTCCCGCGGTCGATGAGCCGCTCAGGCTCGCGCGATCGTCCGCCGCTTTTTAATTGGATTAGAGCGAGACGGATACACGCGCGCAGCCCGAGGGGACGGGGGTGGCCATCCAGCGTCGAGGGTGCCAGGTTACAGGAAAGGGTTGCGCGTCGAATATTCGGACGTGGCAGCGACGGAGGGTGAACGAAGGTGCAGGTAAATGACAGAGACAATCTGGCCGACGCCCCCGCGGCTCGCCGCGCTGGGACCGAGTATCGATTACACGGTCTCGTTCGGTATCAAATTCAAATTTTTACATCTTCTTAAAACAAAAATAATGGTCTCCGGAATCACATAGTTTAATATACAAATAGTTCATTCGTCTGTTCTGAGTCAGTGTTTCGAGCGATAAAGTATGATACATGAAATACTAGTTAAATTATGTGTATTTATTATTACGTTATTAAATGCGAATTGGGTAAAGCTTGTCTGACGGGAATATTAAAAAGGCGATTGGGCCGGTCACGAGGACCTGAATTCGATCTGCGTTACATAAATCACTCTCGACGCAAAGAAACGTGGCCCACTTCGTTTTAAAACGGAGCGAACCGTTAATTAAGTTCTTTCCTTCAACGGCTTCGACGACTTCAGGTATTTCGATTCGCACTTAGTACGATTACAATTTCAGTAATGACTGCCCGTACATTTTTTGGCGACGTTTAGCTATCTCGGTGCACGTTTTCGCGGAGTGCGCTTTCGTTGAGGATAAATCATTCCAGTAAAGTGCCGGGGGCGGAGCGCATCGCGCGGCTCGTATTCCGCATTCGCGGCACGCGGCATTAATTATGTATTCAATAAATTTTAAACGCATCGAAATGAATTCAAATTGCAGATTAATATTAAACGGCGTTGGCTAATTGGCCGGGCAATTATGCGGCGTTAATTAAACATTAGGAGCGAAAGGCGTCGCGACGTGGCACCGGGCTCGCCATCTGTTGAAAAGCTCCCGCGAGAGCTTTCCTGTTGGCAGAGACATCTCAGAGCAACTTCCGGCAATTCTATTTGATTCCCTTAGCGGTAAATACTTAAATAACTGTTTTCCGGAAAGAATGCAATTTCGCAATAACAGAACAGGATGAATATAAATAGCGTAGATGGACAAATGATTAAAGACGAATTTAGACTCATCACTGTGGATCTGCGCCCATCGTTCATAATTGAACATGTAAAGATGTTTTCATTTTATTTCATATAAAGTATGAGGATGAATCATCCGAGGTCTCACCAAAGGCTTTTGCCTTAAGATCTGTAAAGATTGATTCCGGGAAGGGATTATCACGGAAAAAAGTTGTTTAGAAAAGAAACATTTTATTACATTTACCTACAATCTGTATAGATTAATATAAGTCGCGAAGTTACATACACAACAACGTACGAACCGGTTCGAGGGATGGAAACCCTGTTGGTTTCTCAGAGACGTTAAAATATTCTCGACCCTCACGGAGCAGGAAACGGGAAGAGAGTTTTTAGTCACGATTTCCGGTCGTCAGTTTAAAAAACCTTGATATGTCCAAGATCGGGTGAACACAATTTGCCACGGATAAATTACCATCGATAGAAAACGATAAAAAATCATACGCAGTCAAGCGAATGACACAGTACATTTTTTAACAGCGGTAAGAAAATTGTTTGTACTCTAAATCCGTTTATCATTTATTGTGCTTCATGTCGATGATCCGTTTCTATGATAAATTTCACTTGTTGTTCGAATTATGTTTTTTCATTAGTCACGACATTCTCTCGACTCTAGAAATGGTCATACGAGTTCACGCCCGATCGAGCATCTGTGACCACTGAGTTACACGTTACACCATATCGACTACATTAATATTCTCCCTGTTCTTAATAGATTCAAGTCGATCCAATCTTCACCGTGGACGACTGTACTCGCTCTTATTTACAAAACAATTTAGGGAATATTGATATTCAATGAGAACCGTGTATTGAACATTATTTGTCTTAGAGTAAAAAAGTTAAGTGTATATTGGCACGCAAAGAAACATCAAACCTGACGTCACAAGTATAAATTCCTCGGTAAAATCGAGCCTGTACTTTAATCCTCTTTAATAAGTATACCACTTAACGCTACACCTAGTTTACGCATGCTACCACGAATCCTGTTTCTGTTCCATCTTATTTTATCGATTAACATGCCGACTCTTACAACGACTATGTGACACGGTTTACGAAACGTTAAAAAAATTCGTTTCGCGTAGAAAGATCTTGTCGTTTAATCCTAATCATTAGCAACTGTATGTACAATTCTATCCATGTCCTGTGTGATCGATCAGCACCCTATTCACAAATCTTTAATTTGTTTGCCAACAAAACTGCATGAAACTGTACGATCTATGTATTATTAGATATCATCCTCTCACAGGACAGCCGAACATTTATCGGATTCTACCAATGTAATAGCAGACGCATCAGAGATCCATGTATCCCTATCGGAGATACCGAAGATTTTTTTACGATCGCCGCATAGAGTAAAATCCCTCCGACGAATCAGGTCGCACGCCACTCGTTCGTCTTCGTCCCTGCGTTATCAGGGATTAAAGTGGCGTTTCCTCCTCTTGCAGTTACCTGGGCGTCGGAGGTGGTGGCGGGGGTCATACGGCGCTGCCGGTGTAGAACCCGGTCTTCCCGGCGAGCCCCGGTCCACGTTTCCTCTTTTCGCACTCCATCGTGCTGAACGTGTTCTGAGCGATCTGTGATTTCCTCTTCGGGTTCTGAAGCGTCATGCTTCTCTGGCTAGAGTTCGAACTGGAGCTCGTTCCCGGCTCGGACACCCTCAGAATGCCGGAGTGTATCGTACCGAAGTTCTGATAGATGTATTGTGATTGAATCGCCGAGACGGAAGTGTTCTGATTCTTCAGGGTGATCGGCACCGTCTGCCCCGCCAAACTGTTGTACCTGGTGTCGTAACCGAACGGCGTGTCCAGCAAGGATTCGTTGTTCTTCTCTCCGTAGTTACCGAGTCTCGAGTCGAGGAGACCTTCCTTCTCGGTGAATCCGCTCAGTCTTGAGTCCACCACGTTTTGCTCGGTGGTCCTCGGCGTGAATTCGGTGTACCGTGGCTCCTGGCCGACGGTATGTTCTTTGCCCTCGGTGAAGGCGATCATGTTCTGTCTCGAGTCGGACAGAATCCGGGAATCGATCAAACCTTCTTTATCAGCGAACCCGCTTAATCGAGAGTCAACAATGTTCGCCTCTGATTTGTCGCCGAAGGTATAACGAGGATCCGCGCTCTTCGTGTCCGGATACGCCGGTAGAACATGGGAGAGATCTGCTTTATCAACGTAGCTTATCGCCTGTGGGTTGGACGCGCATATGTCAGGCGCTGTTTTGCACAGGAGGGACGTACCTTCTTCCGGCGCTCTTTGAGTAGCTGAAAATTTTACAAGTTCTTGATTATTCCATTTGTCCGAAGTCAAAAGCGATGATTAAAAAGAAATTTTAATTACTCTTCGAGGTTTGACCGAATCCTCTTGCCTGTGGAGGTCCAGGGGATTTCTGATGAGCTCTGACCAAGTATTCCGAGCTCAATCCCCTTTGTTCTCGCAATTTTCTCTCCGCACCTGGTACCATGACTCTCACCTAAGAATAAAAAACAGATTTTATTATCAAAGAACTTGTGTACAAGTCAAAACGAATACTGTACTACTCAAAAGCTGTTTCTGATAATTAAACGATTCTCTTCTACGTATGTTATTTGTCATAAATGATTGTGACGATCGTACCATTTCCTCCACCGTCGAGAAACGGGCCATGTAGCCAGACATGGTTAAAACGGCCGCGACTTCCGCCAAGATTAGGGCCAGTCCGGATAATTGAAGACACCAGCCGTACTGATACTGCGGTAAACCGTTGTCATCGGCCTCCTGCATACTCGACGTGGATGGCAGACTGTACTTTCCCGGCAACTCCAGGGATGCGTCCGATAGAGCCGACGCCAGGACTATCAGACCGCCGCCTAACGAGAGTCCTGCAATGCAAATATGATTATTACTTGGCTCACTTCCTAATACCAGCGATATTTATGCTTTTCCGACCCCGGATCGTGATTTACGATCGGAACAGTGCACCATTCGGATAGTAAACTGTGTCAGATGAGTTATTGTAGTTCTGTGATCCATAGTCTCCAGGATAGAAACTTTCGTTATGTGGAAATTTCATTAAAAAGAATCTGGAGAACTTTCAAATAAATTTAAATTGAACATTTCTCAAGAGATCAACGATGTTCCGAGTCTTGTTGATAAGTTTATTCCTTATTTCCAGATCATCGTTTTAAAAAGAGCCGAAAGTTCAGTATATCCGCGCGGTTACTAAATCTCCGAATGTGATATGACTTTTCTCGCTGCGGAAAAGTCAGAAGACGAAGTTTATTACCCGTGGCTGGGGGGGAGGGTGGTGCGGGCCACCGCGGATTAAGCCAGGTGAAAAGTTGAGAAACGATTTCCGAGAGTTGCTCGTAAGCCAACTTTTCCGAGGCTTCAATCTTCCCTTTATTATGGTTCGATCGCTCGTATCTCTTTAAGCCAACGTAGCGGTGCTATTGCATTCTCGTAAATACGCAGGCATTACAGTGGTAATGCGAGACGAATGGAAGCATTAAGATAGATCGTTCTATAAGAGCCCCGTTTCCCTCCTTAACCGGAACCTTTTAGATCAATTAAGAGACTCCGGACGTGTTTTAAATTATTTTTACGAGACCGTCCCATTACACGGATGATAATTAAGCATTTATTTTTCTAATATCGAGTCAAGCTCACAATGAACTTAGCGAACCAAATTCTTTTTTTAAACATCTCTCAAATCAATTGCTCATTGTCCCACGGATTTATCGTAATCTTTTATTCAAGACTGGTTAATTAGGAGCATAATGTCTCGAGAAATTAAACATGCGCTTTGCTCGAATATGCGCGACGTTCTCCGACGCTAGCTTAAAAGAGTGTCAAAGGAATTCCTTTGGAAGGAAGTATCTTTTACGTCTCCTCGATAATCAGACTAGGCTCCTAAGGGAAAAGTCGACAAAGTGGGATTCATTAAACCCCAAAGACTGGTGCAATATCGAAACCCAGTAAGTCGTGGGACATAAAAATTCATTGCCCAAGGTTGGCTCGATTAATTACAAATTGGCTTTTCTACGTTTAAACGTCATTTAAATTTTAGTCATCATTACTTCCTATCCTGTTTCATTTTTATTAAAATGAAATGTTACACTTAGTTCCCATATTTTAAGAGACTTTATTGTTTAATTATCAGCTTCTCATTAAAGGAGAGGAAATCTTGTATCAAAATACTTCGATTAATAGAAACCACAGACAACCACAGACACCACAGTCAAACTTTTTAACAATGAGTACTCTGTGTCTGATATAATTCATGAGTTTATGGGATTAAAGGAATTAATGATGTGAGGAATGATTTCATTGATGTCTTACCGTAACGTGAATATTATTATAAATGCATACTCAGCGATAAATAATGTATGTGTAGGTTCGGTTTGATCCGGGCGATTAATTTTAATAATTGATCGCTACTTCAGCCCGCTAAATTACGAGCGGCATAAAAAACGTGCACGTTTCCGTTCGTTCGGCGCGGATCGTCCGTTCGACAAACGAATTTAAATTCCAATTAATGCCGTCGTCATACATTTTACAATCGCGGGCGCTTTCGTTCCGTGGCCGTAGTTTACGCCCCGGTTTGCGATTCCGAACACGTAACCCACGGAAACGGACACGTCATAAAAATCATTTCAAATTTGAAAATAAACAGCCGGAAATTGGATTCAGATAATCGCGCGTGGTACCAATAAAGTCTACGAGGGATGAATTTCAAATAAGAGATTAAATCTGTAATTTTTCTCAGATTGATTTTCAATGATCATTACAGAAACGACCTGGCAATATCACCGTTACATCTTCACGGAATTAAATGCTCCAACGAAACGATTTTTGCATTGAATTAAATTTACATTGTTTTCCCTTAATGAATTAACTGGTTAGGGGAGGAATGTATTGAATAAAGTTTGGACGCTATCCAGCGCTTCACACGTAATTTTGCCGCACGGCATGGACAAAAACTGGTGTATCGACGAATCGGATTCCTATACGCTGCGAGGGGGGTTTAATTAGCGCGTTGCTTGTCAGCGTGCTGCGCCTCCGCGTTCACCGATTTCATTTGCAAGTATGCCAGGCCGAACGCTGTTTATCAATTAGCCCTAGTTAGCTGGCGCGACCTAATTCCATCCCGCGCGTCTTCCCGAGAACGCAAGACACACGCTGCGTTATGTATGTGCGAGGAAAGAACACGGAATAGGTTTCAGGCTTTTCAGTTAATTGCGAAGGTATACGCTCGGTGTAATAAGCCAATTATGCTTAAATTTCATAATATTCCTTGTAATCCCTTGTAAGAGAATAGTAAACGAAGGAATAACGTTTGCATATTATTATTACATTTAAGGTTGAATGAACTTTTACATAAAAATTATCAAATTTTAACAGTTATTAGATATTACATTAACAAAGTACTGTACAGAAGTTTTGCGAGCTTATTAAGAAAGTAATCACATCTTGTTACTTACATCATCTTACTCTTCTATAATTACCATGTTTTCTAAAAGTTCATTGCCGTAAATATTGGACACAGATTTTTATTACATGTCTTAAATTTTTGGCAGACAACTCATACAACCTCAATAGTAATACTGATTTAAAAGACTAAATAAATTGCCAATGTCTTAATAAATGCGAAAACTAGCTTAGTATACGTTTCGTAATTAAACTACTTATGAAGGACTTTAGAAACCACTCCACATTTACAAAATACTGTTATGAAACCAGTAATCAGTATGAAAAAATAAAGGGACTGAAGGGAGGAGGAATATTGCTGATGAAAATTGTAGTCCACGAGCGGAAGTCGGGAACGCAGTCGTCATCAGCTGCAACACTAGTTGCGAGAACGAGTTTGGAATATTCAATCGAGTGTCGTCTTCAATTCCTCCGTTGACTCGATTGCGTCTGTCGCTTTGTGTCTCTGGACGACTACTCCTCGGCCCACATTGCTCAATTAATTAGCAGTAATTGCAATTTAGTCGTGGGACGTGGTGGATCAGAATCGGTGGCTACGTGAACCACACTCACTGCGGCAACTGATGTAATATGAACGTCGCATTCTGATCCTGTTCAAAAGTAAACGGGAGGGCTGGCTACGCGATCATGCTTATCAGAGTTAGCCGTGGAACGATGGCTGAATGGGAATTAGCTAGAATTAGCAGGTCTGATTAATCCGACTGGTTTGATTTTTATCTCAAGCTCTACTTTAGATCCTGTCGTTACATTAATTCATTCGGCTGTCAATTACGAAACGTCAAGAATTCTTTAAAGGTGTACAGTTTGTAAGAAGGGAGAGAGGGGAAAAAAACGTTTACCCGTTCTGCAAGCCCGACACGTTTCGAACGGCAACTGCACAGCTCTGGCAGTCAATAAACGTCAATAAAAACACATGCGACATCCAATCGACAGCCACGTCTGTTCTCGTTTATTATCTATTACCACCCATGTCGCTGGATATCTTTTCCTCGCGCGAAACAATCGGCAAAAACTCATTTTACACATTATTCTTATACAATCAATTCTGAAGCTTCACCACTGTACGTAATAATATAAAAAAAGAATATGAATAGAAAGTTTCAATATATGTATAGAAAAAATAAAGTTCTTAATGTATTCCCACGATACGTTGAAATTTATTCACTGTCTAATTTCTCGGATATAATATTTTCCGGACGATTTCACCGGAAATTTTATACAGGACATTATGTTATAATAATATTCGAAAGGAATTTACATTTCCCGGTTATCGCGGCCGAAAGATAAACAAAATGTTTAATGCCCGTATTCCGGTGACCGTGTAGAATCGGTCGCAGTGGTAGCGGACTGCACGAGTCAGCCATAAGAATTCCGAAGGCTAGCACTCTGTTAGGTTCCTCGGTTAGATACGAGCTTCGAATATAAGCCCCTCTTCCTTATCTATAAGTTCCTAGATACCGGATAGGGGATATTAACTGTTAAATATATTCACCAGTTCCTCGTGGAAATCCCGGAAAATCGGGAAGGAAAGCAACTCCTAAAAATAACTTCGTACAGGATGGGATGAAAAATACTGGGAGACTGAAGCAATCTTATAAAATTTGATGAAAAACTGAATTCAGAATTTTGTTAACCGCGCCTGGACGTGAATCATTCTATTCCAATTGACTCGTTTTACGCTGCGCTTGTTCTACTATAGATACGGATGGATTTTCGAACGGTTTGTCAAACGACAACGGAATTTCACTGAAAGTTTAATCCCATTGTCAACACAGTAGCAATGATTCTGCAGTTTTGATATATTTTATTAGAAAAACAAATAGTCTCTTGGAAAAGAGACATTTTAATTTCGAAATATAAACCATAAATACAGTTACTTATTATTTTCTAAAATATGTAGTCATTAATACGTTAGAAATTCTCGAAACTTTCCTTAGAACAACAGACTATATTTTTAAGCATCCTGGCTTTCGTACGGTGCCAATGTTGTTATAAATTCATTTTTGTTCCGCGGCACCGGCAAAAGCCAGGGTAATCGCGTAAGACGCAGGCTGAGCTAGGGTACCAGGCAGAGAAATTTGCCTCGAAGACAAAACACAGCTGATGCACCCGCCGCTTCCAGGTAAAATATAACTTGCGCGTGTTCATTCTGTAGAAAGTACCTCGCATCAAAGTTGACAAACTTGATTCAAGTCTACTGAAAGCTCGAGCATCCTCTTACCCGAGCTTGTATAATATCAACTAACTAAAATATTGTTTGATGGTTCAAGAAGCCAGGTTAATCGAATTAAAACTTCATTCGACTTTTAGGAATAAATTGAAACGATCAAGAAGTCACAGGAATATTTTCCATGAATCGAACGAGTCGTGGTGGTTAATTAATCCGAAAGCT